TTGGTGTTTCTGTCTTGTACATCCTTCCATACTTCTCAAAACTTTGTACATCATTGAGACCTCCGGGGTGATTTTTTGTACTCTCATCATGTGTCATCGTAACGTACTCTTTCTCGTCGCCGTCTTTTTCAAACGTGAAGCTGCTGGTTGTCAAGCTTCGCTGCCCTTCTCTTCCTCGTCTGCACCAATAAAGGGAGACATGAAACCAGACGTTGTTTAGAAGTGACTGAGGATTGGAAGGTAGGAGCACATTGCTGTTTTTAAGCTTTTCCATGTCTTGTTGCTCGATAGGGGGCTTGTGTGTTGTGTTTTCTTTGCCATCTTTTTTAAGTTTGATGCTGGCATCTAGAACTTTATTTGAAAGCACGAAGCGAGGATCTTTATTTAGTTTTATTGGCCGGCTATGTGGAGGGCTGTTGAGGTATCTCTCGATGCCATTTCTCAAGGAAAGAAGTGATGCGCGACAATAGGATTCGCCATTTTTATTTCTTGCTTCAACGTAAAATTGGCCAAGCTTTTTATCGAGTTCTTCGTAAGACATCGCTTCAAGAGAGGTCTTAAACCTTTTTCTTTGTTCCAGCCTGTTTATAAAATGTGTAAAATTCGATTAGAAAAATATCCCGCGAAATTATTACTACAATAATCATTTGTTTACAAAATTTTGACATTTAACATGAGCTGTCAACACTTTGTACATGTACGTGTTTTCACTTGTTTTTGGTTTTACACTTGTTTTATTTGACAATTGAGACTAAAATACATCATGCAGTACAAATATTTGTCTTAAATGACTAACCATTAAAAACAGAAACGGCCCATTTGGTGTTTGCTTTTGTCTTGCTAGCTTGGGCATCGTCTAGTAGTTTGTTGATATCCTCCTCCGCTACTTCCGTAAACCTCGGCTTTTTCGTCGCAACACTTTCGTCGGGTGTTTCGGTTTCATTTTTCACTCTCAATACTTCTGAGTATTTCGTTATCAATATCATGGGAAAAATCGTCAAAATTAAATTCAAAATCAAATAAAGGTAATTGATTTTCATCTCTTGCCGCCATCTTTGTAAAAATTGAAGCTGACGACATTTTCCTTCCCATCCGTGATCCCTTGGTGTATACGAAACTTGATTTCGCTATAAAATAGTCACTTTGTTTTGGTCTTGATCTTAGGTTTATTCACATCACTTCACTACTAAACTCTGTTCGCTCACAATCTCTCGACCCTCTCTTGCGTTGTGTAACACACTCACCACACCCCCTCTCACATTACATACGATCTCACTTCCGCTCAAAATTATTACAAAATCACTTCCGGTCACGCTCCCCTAAAATTTAGAATTATTTCTTAAATTTTACAATACGTTGATTTTAAACTACGAATGTTCTTTTCTAATAATCGCGGTTTCTTGCGTGTAACAGTAACAATATGATGAATACAGTACTGAATTCTCTTTCAGTGTTCATGGTTATATAGTTCAAACCAATCACTTGCGTGATGGCTTAATGTTGAGTTTTCTAGCTCTTCGGCTTCAAGTGCCTTCCTTATGGCACGCTTTGCATTCTGCGCTGCTTGTCTGGTACTTCTATGGTATGTGGTTTGCTGTTGCGTTTCAATTGCTATTGGTTTAGCTTCAGCTTTGATTTCCAAGGGGCAAATGAGAGATAGAGGCCTCTCAAGGTGGTGTCCTCGGTGTAGCAGTTTCACTCCCCTAATTACACCATCCTTTCCTCGTATCAGCTGGGTAACTTTGCCTTTCTTCCACTCCCCTCGATTCTTTTCGTCTCCCACTAGTAGCACTATGTCGCCAGTCTCTGGATGCGCATTTGTACCTTTTTTGATACGATGACATTCCATAAGCCCATGTACATACTCTGTTTTCCACCTTTGCCATGCGTGCTGTTTCTTTTCAGCAAGTCGATCGCTTATGAAGCTTAGTTGTTTCGTCTGTGTCTAACTCGATGTCTTCTACAGGACGGGCATCTTGTCCCCACATGATCATGTTTGGCGTTAAAACTTGCTCTTCAGATGCTTCGCTTTCGGCGTATGTCAAAGGTCGGTTGTTTAGGTGTCTTTCGACATCCATTACAATGGCTTCAATCTGTTGAAACTCTAGGCTCGCCCTTCCCTAAGTCTTGAACAGCGTTTTCTTCACTTCTTTAATTAGACGCTCATACATTCCTCCCCACCATGGCGACTTAGCAAGATTGAACTGCCAATGGATCTGTTGTCTTGCGAGGAAATCCTGCAATGCTTCACTCTTCCTTATCTGACGTATCCACTCTGCTGTAGCCTTGAAAGTTTGGGCGTTGTCCGATATTATTCGCTCTGGTCTGGTTCTTCGCGTGATGAAAGCTGATAACTTCTGTTGTAATTCATCTGCAGTTTGAGTCTTCGTCAACTCAAGGTGCACAGCTCTGGACGTCGCACATGTGAATATTAGAATGTAGCACTTTGCCTTCTCGCTTTTGGACACCTTGTATTCCAGTGGCCCTGCGAAGTCCACACCCGTTGTTTGGAATGGTCTGCTGTTTTCAGTGCGAAAGGTTGGCATGTCCGCTGTCGCTGTCTCTCCATATGGCTTTGTGTTGAAGGTTTTGCACGTCTTGCACTCATTGATCGTCTTCTTCACTTTGGATCGTAATTTCGGGATCCACCATTTCTCTCTGATGGCTGCCATAGTGNCTCACAGACGCTAGTTGAACTCTCAAGCTTCGGCTGACTTGGCCATTCGTCTTTATCGAGCAACCAGTCAGGTCCTTCCACTGGACGAAAAATCGGATTCACTCGTATGTAAAGATGTCGCAAATGTAGAGCAAATACCACTTTCAGTCGAATTTGCACATATTTGCATCGAAGCAAATATCGTATTCACACCACATTCACACCCCGTAGCAAAGGCGGTGAATACCACATTTGACAATATTCACGCCTAGTTGTAAATGTGATACAAACACCGTATTTGCTATATATTCACCCCTAAAACTAATGTATGGAAAACATGGAATTCGCATCATATTCACTTTATATTAAAACAGTCACAAATGTAATATTCACATCATTTTTGCTTCATGTTTAAAGCGATGTAAAGGCTAAATTTGCGTTAGTTTTACGGCCATGTAAACAGGGCAAATGCCATATTTGTTTCAACTTTGCAATACTTTAAAACTGGTCTAAACGWTATATTTCTTCATAATCATCATGGCTACTTGCTTAGGTATCATTAGTACCACTTGATGTTTTGATAAAAACAAAATTTTTAAAACCTGAAAACCACCAATTCTGACTTTCACACAGTAAAATGCAAAAATACTTGTTTATTAAAATACTTTATTATAATATTCATCTAATGTATTACATATTTTTAAATGATACACTGATGTTATGAGCTATCAAGTTATATAATTATCAAATGAAGGATAGTTAAAACATTGTTTGAAATGTGGTCTAAATAGTTCAAAAGTTATAATACAAACTAATAAAAACAGTCTATAATATCCAAATATATCTAAATCCATTMAAATTAAAAAATTGATAATTATACAAAAAGTTAAATCTATAAAAATCTTATAAAGATATCTATATTTATCAAAATTTCACATATACAATAAATTTTTGTATATGTATTGAACATCAACAATTCAGAATGAAAAAAATATTTTTTGCTTATATGAAATGCAATTCAAGATATGCAGTAGATTTCACAAACCCATTAAGCACATTCATAGTACTACATGTAATAAAAAATAATAATTGCAGTAGAAACTGTCATTATGACCATTGCATCTTGCATGGCTGTTTTTACTATACTCATGGGATTTTGAAAGCAACTGCAAAATGATGAAAGGAAACATTATCAATAAGAAAGCTTAACAATTTTAAAAACAAAACTAATTTCGAGAGATTGCCCAAGCTGGTGCATCATGAGGTGGTTGTCTTCTTGAGGGCTGCCCTTCCCTTCTCTCTAACACCATAGAGCTCCCCTTTGAGGTACGCCTTCTTTTGACACGTTTGTCTAGYTTTTTAAAAATACTATCAAGTTCCTGGCTTCGCCAAGTTAAACGCCTTATTTTAAAATAGCGTGTTTTCCTCACAGGAGTCATTTCTGATTCACTGTCTGAGGAATTGGCCTCTTCCTCACTCTCTGCTACTGATTCGTCTGAAGACATATATTCATTCTTCAGCACCATTTTAATTTTCTTCTTTTCCTCTTCTCCAATGGATGTAGATTCTTTAAGGCTGCTTACMCGTCCAACTCTTTTCTATAAACATGATCAAAGTGTAATTTTAAAATTTGTAAAAGTGTTATGTTTTTTGCTCAAATAAGGATAGTACATGTACATCCAGAGACTGACAYTTATTTAGCTTTTTCAAAAAGGTTTTCATTGCCAAAGTCAAATATAATATAAATACCTTTGATCAAGTCAATTCATCATAGATTTTATTCTTATCCTTTCAGCTATTTTGTAGCTCATACCAAGAGCAAATATGTRTGSCAATATCAAATTTCAGTGATTGAATGACACATTGCYAATGTAATAGTCTTTAAAGAAGTGTCAACCTCTTTGGGAATATACAGTTATAATAACTTAAGGTGGTTTGAAATAGGCTCTCCTTGCTGTTGGATATTGCTGTTGTACANTACAACTTAAATCGGCAGGAACTGCGCAACGCAACATGACGTGGCAGCGTAATCAACGCGGCCGGCGCGAGCTTCGTACTACTTCCATCGGCTAGGAGTAGAAGTAACAGGCACAAAGACGTGGTCGCGTAAACAAACGCGACCGGCGCATGACACAAACTACTTCCGTAAGCTATAAGTAGGAGCACAACAAACAAACAACGTATGTATAAAAACTCAAGACCTGCCGAGCGATCGGCGTTACTACTGCAGCAGTGGTAATGGGCTACGCAACGCAACAAAGACAATTGCTATATAAATACGCTATTTCCGGTTTAAAGTAGAAACTTTAATCATGACAAAACTCTGTTGGAACCAATATACACAATTATATAATGATACAGCAAAACATACAACTGCCAGCATAACTACGCAAATCAAACCTAACGAAGTTACAGTCGAAATGGCTGAGCATAAAGTCAATGCAGACCATGAGCATAGGCCGAGGTCGGATGACATGGGGAACACGACGCATCCGGAACAGTCAATGTTTACGATACTTGGACACTGAAGGAAGAGACGCCTGCTTTGGGGAATCAGGGTGGCTGGAGGACTTCCTCTCCACCTGTCGGCTATCATCTCGTCGGCACTCGGAAGCACGGTGAGGGCCAGCACATTTAGTGCACTTGTGCGCATATCTGCAAGGTGTGTACGGTGACGAGCACGAACCTTTATTCCATGAGATGCAAATAGTCGAGCTGGAGAGACGAGGAGCTGAGCCCGCCGTGTGGAAATTATACAGCTCAGGGTTTAGCTTGGACCAGTCCGTCAGATTGGAAGCGCTAGCAAACTCTCGGAAATCTTGGTCGTAATGCAGCCACGCACGACCGCCAAATTGACGGTACGTGCGAATGATTAGTAGCTTATTAGCCATTTTTATGTCATGAAATGAATTGTAATTTCTGTCATATTGAGCCAATCGAAAAACCTCAGCATGTCTAAGGAAAGGCTATCAGACACAATTTAGACCCCCGCGAAGCTTTCAACCGAAATAGACTGGACACGAGGTTTCCTTGACAACAGACGCAAATTGGATGAATTGATGGCGTAGGTCTGTGTATAGACGCTATCTGTCGATATTTTAGTTTATTATGTGTTTTTCGAGAACTTTTTGCTGTTAAACAGCAAATAATATTGTTTGTAGGATTGCCACGTTCTATTTGGACCATTGTGTGAAAGAAATGTTGTATTTCTACCGAAGTTATCTTCAAAAGAGTCCTCGACACGAAGCGACCACGGGACTGCATGACATAAGCTTAACTTAGAGACATATGGAAGTTGAGGTTTATTATGGTTGATTTAAAATTTGTATCTTGGCAAATTGTCTGTTGGATAATTTTATCAGGCCTCCAAATATTTAAGTTAAGATTTTCGCTAAAATTTTGCCATATACATGTACTTAAGCACACTCACGTGAAGTATACAAAATTAACCTTAAGCTTAAATTCAATTTTCGACTATTATGCACTAAAAAACATAAATTGAAAACAATTAACTAAAAACGAAATAAAGCAAATTTATTTAATACAATACGGTTCTTAAAAGTATTTACAATACCTCTGTAAAAATATTCAAATTGCATGTTTACAAATATTTACAATAATCTTAAGAAGTTAATTTGACTTTCTCAATTTTCTTAGCATTTCTAACAGTTAAGCTTAATTCCTTTAATTTATACATAAAATTATATAAATATACTCTCAATATTATGTAGTAATACAAACAATGTGTACAACATCCACTAAATACATGTACTTCTAAGCTTAAATAATTATGCTATTGCTTTCTATTATTACCACTTCCAATTGAATAAGCTTATAATAGTGGAAAGTGTTGAATAAATGTCATAGAGTTTGGACGTTTCTCTTGCAAGCGAATAGTTTGGTAATTAATTTATATCATTTCATGTTATATATATAATATCAAAGAGGCAAGATTTTGCTGTTACTCCGAGTTTCGTGCTACGCACTCATCAGACAGTATTTAATGATATTTTTCAGTGAAGAAGAAAAGTCTGGTATATGTATATATAAGTATACATGTATATATAATATCAAAGAGGCAAGATTTTGCTGTTACTCCGAGTTTCGTGCTACGCACTCATCAGACAGTATTTAATGATAAACATTCCTATAATCTAGATATATATACATGGTATAGAACAAAAGGCTAAGTGCTAGGCTATTTACATACAATACGTGATAGTTATGTTGGAAACAATAGGTGTGAAGGTAAAAATTACAAAGGAGAGTATACTATTAATTAAAACTGCGTAGGTGTGAATACAATAGGCTGTAGAGGTGTCAAGTGTTCTTCAGGTAGAATTTGTTTTCGTGTCGGCATTTAGAGACGAGTTCTGATCTTTTGTTTAGTATATTGTCGTTACTGTGTTTAATTATCATAAGTTTTTCTGTAAGGCACAGGTCGCATCGTTTGGATATGTTGTTGTAGGGTCTTGCACGGCTGATGATTGTCCATTTGATGTTGAAGTCTTGTTTTTTGTCTTTTAGTTGCCAGATGTACTTAGAAAGTTCGGTGCTGTTGATGTGTTTTCTGTGTTTGAATGTAGATTTGTGCTGCGAGAATCTTTGTTTGAATGTTCCTTCTGTCAGTCCGATGTAGTTCTTGGTTGTGTTGCTGGTTGTGACTTGCGCGTTGNATTTATTCCATTGTCTTTCTTTCATTTGATATTTAGTTAAGGTGAAAATAATACTTACAGTGTTGATTCGGCTTCGCCTCCTTTGAYTTTTGAGATATAGTTCGGCTTGTTGTCTGTTTAAGGACCATCGCCTTCTCTTTGTCTTGAAATGTGTCCTGATTGCCGCTGAAATTTACAAAAATAGACACAGAATCACAATTTTATTCTAAACATGTTTTCACTTAATCAAAATTAAAACTCTGTTTTCAGATTTTAACTAGAATTTGTTTGTACCTCTAACTTGACCTGCTGAATAATTGCTAGTGCTTAGAACTCCTCGCATAATGGCAATGTTAACTGTCTCATTTTCACTGAAACTATTAAGAAAAGAAAAAGATTAATTAATGAATAATATTGAATGGTCAAACAAGGAGTCATTTCATTCTAATTTATATTATATACAATTTATATCACATGGGTTAGACTGTTCAAAGACAATTATTTCTTCAACATTTGACATTGACTTTTGTGAAAAAATTCATTATATTGTGAGATACAACTGTACCTTTTTTGGAAGTCCCAAAGTTGAATATTCTCTCCATTTTTTTCAGCTAGGTCCATGTTTTGATAAACTGTTCTAACATCTTCCTAAAAAGTCACAAACAAAAATTTGTTTAAATAGATATTGTTTGATAAATAAAGATTGTATTTTTGGTTTATTTCATTTTGAACCAAAAAGTATCACGTACTTTTAAAGCAACACAGTAATAATAGGAAAGAAGGCATGACCGCGTGCTACCTTTTAAAGACCTTTGAGTTGCCGACTCTTCGACCAAAAGAGCGGGAAATCAAAGAGACAATAGAACCACGACGGACCAAAGTTAAAAGTCGTTCATGTTTAAAATAGTAGAAATTCTGGTGATCATCAAGATATCTAGGTTAACAAATAAGCATTAGCTTACCGTAAGTTGCAACGGCAAAGGCCCTCTCTTTTGCCCTCTYGCAGATCGAGACTCGTTCTCACTTAACAGCTGAAGTAGTCTTTTGTTGATCTCCCTCTGKTCTTTAATGAAAGACTCCAAGGAGCTACCGCTATCTTCAACTGAAGCATCGACCTCTTGGTTATCGTCTTGATTAACAGCTGGTTCAGGTTCATGGCTAACTGGTGTCGCTGGCAGAGAACACGATGACGACGGAGAAGATGATCCCGGCGTGATAGGAATCGGCAGTCGTCGACTGCACGAAGGAGTTGTTGTTTGATCCTCTATAGCACTACTTGGAGTCGCCGCAGGAATCGGCGTYCTAACAACTGAAGAAGATGGATTTGCTGATCGTTTCTTTGAGTGTCTGGCCATTGTAAAATTCTCGTATAAAACTAAAAGTCTCAAAAGTTACGCTAACAGTAATGTCTATGTAGCAAAGAGAACGAAAGAGCGAAGAGACTAAAGTTTTGAATCTGCCACTGTTTACATTTCACACCTACAGTCACGTGCTGCTGACTCAGAASAAATTTGATTGGTCAATACTTTAAAGTCTATGCGTGCACGACGATCAAAGGTCATATCTTCCAAATATGGTCGCATGTCCGCTGCTCACAAAACGTTGGGGCTCATCAGCGTCAGCCATGTTTGTTTACGTATCTGTATTTTGAAATTGAAAGTTGATATTCTTGTAATGAATTCTGCGAAAAGAAAGTATTGTRGTCACTGTGAGCGACTACTAAATAGCAGGACACATCGCCTTCATTTCTCGTTATATTACGACRTAAATGCTAAGAAATGGCGCACTAACGGAAYACAACAGAACGCTGCGTCTTCATCAGACTCTTCCGATGACGAAGAAGTGTTTTCCCGGCTTGATGATGATACCCCTGACATAAATACGGACGATGTATCGTAAGGTTACCAGAGGATTCAGAAAGAACACCATACTGCACCGAAGACTCCATAAGCACACAAGGTAAACATGAATATTTATTTTTTTCTAAAGAAATGAGTGGAATATTAAAAGTGTCTGTGCATAGTTAACTATGGTCTGTGTATAGAATTTAAGCTTACAGGTAAAAGATATTTTGTGAAGTTATAKTTCCCCTTTTTTCAAAATTCAGATTTCATAACATAATCTTGGTTGTTATTTTTTTACACTACATTGTATTTTGTTACATATACATAGCTTACAGCTAATTACTTTTAGCATAACTGTTCTGTTATTTCTTTTTACATTTAAATAATAGCACAACTATAATTTTTCTCAATCAAAATGCTATTTTTTCTTATAATGTTACAATTGATCTCTTTTAGGAGCAATAATAAATGAAATGGATGATGAAGATGCAAGGCTTACAGGCAGAGGTGATCTTGAAGATAAAGATGATTGGTTATACATGRAAAAAGATCCAACAGATGATCTGTTTRAAAAATGGGAACTTAATGAAAATGATMTTGATCTAGATTTTGAAGAGAATGGCCATTCTTCAACTTTGCACTGTGATATACAAGAACAAAGATGTGGTGACATCATAAGAWKGATGCTGATATTTCTATGCATGTGGTCATCGTATTGTTATATTTCAGACAATGCCTTGGATATACTAATCTCCTTTATTCATGCTGTTTTTCAATGTTTTGGAACAGTTTTACCAGCATTTGCAGGGATGGTACTTGTGTTTCCAAGATCATTAAATTTGTTGAAAAGACAGCTTGGTTTGGATAAGGACAAATTTAGAAAGTATGTTGTTTGCAGAAAGTGTGAAACTTTGTATGACTTTGGTGATTGCTACTTTCAACGGCTTTTGAAGGACTGTCATAAAAAACTGTACACATGTTGCACATGATAACCATAGACAGCAGTTTAGACGCACAGCATGTGGGGAACCGCTTCTTAAAGAAGTGATGCTTAAGCACGGAAGAAAGAGGTTGTATCCATTTAAAGTTTATTGCTACAATAGCATAATAGATAACCTGAAACATTTCATATCAAGACCAGGTTTCATAGCAAACTGCGAGCTATGGAGAAACAGAAATGTCCCTGATGGAATTTTAGCCGATGTTTTTGATGGGCGAATATGKAAAGAATTTATGTACATAGGTAGTGAGCCCTTCCTTGCAGCACCAAGAAACTATGCTTTTATGATGAATGTGGACTGGTTCCAACCATTTAAACATTCATTGTACAGTGTTGGTGCCGTTTATATGGTTTTTATGAATCTTCCAAGAGAACAGCGCTTTAAGCCAGAAAATACAATACTTGTGGGTATAATACCTGGTCCACATGAACCAAAGCTAAATATTAACGCATACTTAAAGCCATTGGTTGATGAATTAAATACTCTTTGGAATGAAGGAATTCAAGTTAAACCTYCAGGATACCAAAGTACTGAGACATTCAGAGCAGCCTTACTGTGTGTAGGGTGTGATGTGCCAGCAGCACGGAAGGTCTGTGGCTTTACAGGTCATGGATCATGCCATGGCTGCTCCAAATGTAAGAAGATATTCCCTGGAAATGYAAATGAGAGAATGGATTTTTCAGGATTTGATCCTTGCCCTYCACGGACTAATATAGAACATAGGCAACAAGCTKAAGATATACTTAAACAAACCTCTGCAACAGACAAAGTAGAAAAAGAGAAATTATATGGAACAAGATTCACTGAGTTGATGATGCTTCCTTATTTTGACTGTGTAAGGTTCCATATCATCGACCCTATGCACAACTTATTTACTGGCACTGCAAAACACATCATGAAAAATATCTGGCTGGATGAGAACCAAAAAATCATTGAACAAAAGAGTCTGGTAAACATTCAAAAGAAAGTGGACAATGTCAACGTACCATCAAGTGTTGGACGTCTGCCTAAGAAAATTTCAAACAGTTATGGTGGCTTTACCGCTGACCAGTGGAAAGCGTGGACTATTATATACTCGGTGTTTGCCCTTTGGAATGTGTTGCCACAAGARGACATGGATGTATGGCSTGAGTTTGTCATAGCTTGTAGCCTTCTTTGTAGTACCATCATTACTGAAACAAAGGCCAGGTTGGGACAATTGCACCTAATTACATTTTGCAAAATGTTTGAGGATTTGTATGGCAAAAATAAAGTGACTCCAAACATGCACCTCCATACCCACATATCAGACTGTAYAYTGGACTTTGGTCCAGTGTACACATTTTGGCTATTTAGCTTCGARAGATACAACGGCATACTTGGAGAGTACTCCACAAATCAAAGGTCAGTTGAGATCSAGATAATGCGCAAATTCTCATCTGAACRGTTTGTCAAAGCATTACCATTGCCAAGCTCATTCCGTGATCACTTTGAGCCTGTGTTTAATAGAATGAAGTCAAAGTGCACCGGRACTCTACAAGAGTATACTACAGATGCTGTGTACGACATAACAACCTCTTTGATAAGCCTTCACCGTCTTTCTATTGGCCCAGTGAGAAAAGGTGTACATTGGGTTATATCGGAAAGCACATCTGCTATCATCACAATTATAGCTCCTATATCCATGTACTGCATTGAACAAGATTCCTTAGAAGATCTAAAAGATGCATACAAAACAATTTTGAATGGCATTGATGAACAGTCAGTAACTATTCATTGCGAGAAAATTTCTGGTATATCATTTGGAGGGGAAGAGTATGGTTCCCTGGCAACACGAAAAGAACGATCTGCATTYATTTTAGCAAGATGGTGTAGAAATTCAAGAGGACAAATTGACAGTACTGGATTAATGCTAAGACCAGGTGTAGTCAACTATTTCATACGACAAAACATCCAAGTTAATGGACAGTATCATACTTTTATTTTGGCCTCTGTAAGATGGTTCAAAGAACACCCTGAAAGACAACATCTYGGGGTTCCTGTTGAAGTATGGTGTAGAGATCTAYATGAAGATAATGGTCCAGCTGATTTTATCCCCTTTCAAAGAATTCATTCAAAGTTTGTGCCTGCAATGGATGTTGTCAAAAATGAACATGWTTTAATTACATGTCCTTTGCCACGCAAGTTGCAATGCTGAACTGATTATTGACATAATTTGTAATAGTTATTTGCATTTGAAGATGCTCTTGGTATAAATTGATATGTTCACAAATATTWGGTATAGACAACAAGAAGTCTTTAATAATAATTGATGTAACAGTTTTTAAAATTATTATTTAATTATTATAATTATAAATATCACCATATTTAAATGAATGTACACCAAGTTCAAGTTTGTGACACTAAGAGAATGCAAACTGAGTCCAGAAAGCAATTTTGAAATATGAGTTATATGCATTTTCAGAGCTGTGTTCAAAACTGTGATACCCAATATCTCTCTTGGTCTTACCTTATTATTTCTGTTAAATATCAAATTTAATTTTAAGTGTCAGTTCAAATACCTTTACATGGTAAGCTTGGAGGAATTTCATAATCTCATATTTTTTACATTAAAAAACATAATATTATATAATTATATCAATTTTAACTAACTTTTTGGCTTTTATACTGTATAAATGATCATATTAAATTTCTCTTCAAGGTAATTCATGTAATAACATTACAGTTCTTATCTTTCACATTGCAGATTCAGTAAAGAAAACTCAATCTAAATATTTGTGAAGTTACTGAGAATTGAAAAAGTGAGAAATGAAAGTTATAGTCTTACAGAKCATGGGTGACATGGATCAAAGCATACTAGAATCTTTTCAGTTATCTAAAATGTCTGTGCTGACATGTATCTTATGCTAAATTTGACAATTTGAAAAGCTGAAAAAATCCCTTATTTATACATCCCATTGCAAGTGAAATTTACAAAGTCAATCACAAAACAGCTTTTCTTGTATATTTCACAAAATAATGGTATACACGAATCACAATCAAATTGATGACTAATTTTACTTCATATTTGCAACTATAGTAAATCTATAGTAAAACTATAGTAAATTATTCAAAAGAAACCATSCACCAAACACTATCAAAAGTAAAACTAAAAAGAGGGGGTCCCCTAGACCACGCCACGTACGTTGATACTAGCTTCTACCTACAGTTGAAATCACGAATTTCCTGCAAAGCGAATACTAGCGTACGGGCCTTCCCTGAACGTCGGGGCGCCTATAAATAGGTCTTTGTTTATCAAGGAAACTCACGGTGGCTTGCTTGGTTGCATGGGAGGGAATTACCGGCCCCAAGACCATTCACACGCCGTCGCGCACATGATAACCCCTAGCTTTGGCCAAGCTGCTACTTGCCTCTAAAATACGTATCTTTTATAGCACAGCATTCAACGTAACATCTTCAATGTGGGAACCAATTGAGCTTGGCATATCGTAAGCACGCACGCATGCGCAATCGAAGATTAATAGTTTAGGCTAATGCCATAACAAAAGATATTTTAGTAAAAGCCCACGAAATACAGCATTTTGAACAATAAACAACAGCACTAATTGCGCGATAAATAAAGCTCTACTTCTGTATGAAAAAGCATGTCGAGTTTGTAGCGAGTTTTAAAACTTTTCGAGCCATTTTGGGAAACAAAGTATTCAAGCACGAGTGCACTTACATAACACTTGCTTATATCGAAATAATACAACTATTCGACACCCATGAATATAGATGCGAATTCATGCAGAATACGTCAAATAGATCACGCACTTGGAAAACCTTCGAAGTTTCAAAGAAGTATTCAATAGTTTGTATAAGTTAAGTTTATACTTATCGTAAACACCCGCATACTTTAACGCGAAATATTTTCATCCGAATACTAAAGATTAATTCATACAGGAAAGCAGGCGTACGAATTCAGGCGGAATACGATTGGCAAATAGATCATGCTACCTGAAAACCTTTGTATACTCAAAGTTTCGAAAAAGTATTCAATACCTATATACGTGAAGTTTACTTATTGCAAACGCTCGCATACTTCAACGTGAAATATTTTGATCCGAATACTAAAGATTGATTTGTTGTCAACATCTCCTGCTCTCGTGATTTAAGCTTATAAGTACGAAATTGAAAGCTTGTTTGCTTCGATATGCATTAACATTTTTAGCAAAATACATACTAAATTAGGTTCGAAAGTCTTGAATCAATGAAGGAAGGAAATGTAGAGTTTTTCTGCATGTTTTCCGATTGATCGAAAATAACAATGAAAATTTTACACTTCCCGCCGCGTTCGCGCTCCAAACAAAAAAAACGCCCGGGTTTACTTAATTCTAACTGGTTTTATCTAAAAGGTTGCATGTATTTAAGATAAGTTTTATTGAATTCCTGAAAAAGAAGCGACTGTACGAAACAAATTAACGCGGGGTTGTGAATATGGTGTAATTACTGTTTTTTTGGATTCTCATCATATTTGAATTGGTCATAAAGACTTTATTTCCTTCATGTTTGCATGTCGAAAATATAATGCAAATATGACAATTTGAATCAAGTTTACACCATATTTGCGAGCCAGCGCATATATGATATTCACATATGTTTACATTGGGGGTGTGAATTTGATGCAAATTTCATCTACCAAATTTGCACCATATTTGCATCTGAGTAAATCCGACTTTTCGTCCAGTGTTCGAACCACTGTCCAGTCTCCATCTTGTTAAGTGATGCACCCCGACTTCCTAGATCAGCTAGATTCATGTTCGATGGACAGTACTTCCAGTTGATCTTGAGGTCGTTGGTGATTTTTGCTATCGCCCTGACGCGATTGGAAACAAAGACTTTCCATGGTTTTCCAGGGTTGCAAATCCAGTAAAGACCCGTCATGCTATCCATCCAGATGGTGATTGACTTTATGGGCCAGCGTTGTAAGGCGGTGTTGATGTTCTTTGCCATGTTTGCTGCCATATGTCCGCTGATCAGCTCTAGTCTCGGTATGGTCGTGTTTCGCTTTGATATCCTTGACTTCGATGTTAACATTCCTTTAATCACTCCCGTTGAATGTTCAATAACCGCTATGGCTACTGTAGAACACGCTGTCTTACTCGCATCTGCAAATAAATGTAAGTGGACACCAATGATGTTATTCACTCCCTGTGGTATACTCCTGGGCACTTTCACGTTGCATAGGTTACTGGTCCACTTACTCCATCTCACTGCAATGTCGTCTGACACTGTGGCGTTCCAGCTCTTGTTTTCGTAACATGCATCACGGTAGATTTCTTTGCCTCGAACTAACGTCGGTGATATCAAGCCAAGTGGATCTTACAAACTGGATAGGTTACTAAGGATACCTCTTTTCGTCACTTGATCTTCGCTTCTAGCAATCTCTTCTCCCTTGACTTCGAGTGTGTCTGATCGCTTGTCCCATAGGTAACCTAGTATCTTGGATGGGTTTGACTCGGTATCAAGCTCTAGTACTCGCTTGTCCCATAGGTAACCTAGTATCTTGGATGGGTGTGACTCGGTATCAAGCTCTAGTACGTCGGACTCCCACTTATGTACAGGAAATTTTGCTTTTTCAAGAATTGCAGTTGCTTCTCGCTTGGATCGATGGAGATCCTCAATGTCAGATGCAGTTTTCATTAGGTTGTCAACGTATGTGTCTTCTTTAAGCGACGTTACGGTATCTTGTAGGTGTTCACATTGCAAGTCGAAGTGATGTCGTAGTGTGGCACCTAGCATAAATGGACTGGCTTCGGCTCCGAACGGCACTCTAGCGAAGCGTAGGTGTTCCCCTCTGCCATTAATGTTGAAGAGAAACCTGAATGCATCTCTGTCTCTTTCTGCAATGGTTATTTGTAGAAACGCCTTCTCAAGGTCTGCCAGTAATAGGTGTGGTGACATTCGTGCTCTGATAAGAATGTCCCAAAGTAGTGGCTGTAGAGGTGGTCCAGTGTACATGCACTCGTTCACGCTGTTGGCTAATGGGTGTGGTTTGGCACTTCCATCGAACACCATTCTCACCTTGGTCGTGCTAGCAKTTTCTCTTACTACAGGCTTGTGAGGCATGTAGAACACGCGGTCTCCGCTAGGTGTGTCAGGTACTTTCTCGACCACGCCCATCTCCAACTGGTCTGTCACTATCTTTCTGTACTCAGCTTCGAGTTTGCTATTCTGACTTAGCTTCCTTTCAACGTTCTGTAGACGTCTTCTACTGGGTTCCTCATTTGTGTTGCTCATCTCTGCTCCTGGTATCCAGGGTACCTGTACTTCGTATCTGCCTTCACTATTGACAGTAATGTTCTCTGTGAACTCTGTAAGTACTACTGAACTGTCGTTTTCTCCTCTGTCTTCAATTCCTAGCACATCTAATGAATACAGTTTCTCGTAGTAACAGTCTATCTCCTTAGAGAACAAACACGACCCTCCTGAGTACTCCTTTCCCCCGTNTGGTCCTTGAGTGTTTTTGGTTGTGTTTTTTGCAACAATGCGCCTTATCCTCTTAATTGAGGTTTGTCTTGGGGTTGAGGTGTAGTATTTCCTGATACTATCTGTTGTCAATACATTCCCCGGAATGGGTTGACTCAGCTGCTCTTTAATTGCTTCTAGAATAGCATCCCAGCTAGAGTTTTCACGGTAGGCTTTTAAGACCATCTTTTCTTCAATAACTGTGATATGGTAGCGTCACTTGGTAGTTTCTATTAAGCTCTTTGGCTCTATTGATATTCCTAAAAAATATGCTAAGAATCAAAACAGAAGTTTGGCTAGCGCTGTTATGTTGTTACTCGAAAATGCCTACCTTGTTGAGATGTTTCTTGCTCCTCAAATGGTCTCCAAAAGTTCATTGTGTGTAGAGATTACAGTGCAGCTCAGAAACATATGTACATTTATCGCGTTTTTTGCGCAGACAGAACGCGTTCGATGAACGCGATTTGCTCGCACCTTGATCGCGATTTGCTCGCACCTTGATCGCGATATGTTCGCAACTTGATCGCGATATACGGTAACCTTGATCGCGATATGTTCGCAACTTGATCGCGATATACGGTCACCTTGATCGCGATATGCTCGCAACTTGACCGCCATGTGCTCGCAACTTGATCGCGATAGACGGTCACCTTGATCGTGATTTAATTTCACTTTCGAGGTACTATGCTAACTTCAACAATGGCAATCGGGGTTGAAGTTTCCTGGCGAGATTTTCGTTATGATCGTTTATCATTGTCAAATATATGTTGCTATTCAGGACTCGTTTTATGTTATTTCTAAATATTATATTATTTACAAAGATAAATGATAAATTTCATGCAACGATTCGTGATTGCATGCCAATTTCAAAACTCTGATAATTCCTGATTCCGCTCTAACCCCCGAAAGTTCAACGCCGTATTGAAAACTCAGATTTACGTTAGAAGTTTTACTCTAGAAGATAAATGCTAGTGCAGACTTATGCAATATACGTGTAGTAACTCTACATTTACACTTGTCTGAATATTGCTTTCGTTTGACATTGCTTTGCTTTTAAAAACAAGGAATTA